ATATTTATCTTTTCATATATTTTTAAATAGGTTACAATGTGAAGCACTCAGCAGCTTCTAGCACTAGATCTTCCTTTTGAACTATTGACAGAACTAGGCAATTCTGGTTTTATTCTCACTTTTACTTTCCAGCTCCAGTTTGAATTTTATTGCACCTAGGACTTAATGCTCCACTGTGCTGAACACCCTGAATGGTCCTGTATTGCAGCAGAAAACATAAACAGTCAGTGCTTCAGGTCAAGTTTCTCTGCTATATCTTCACATTCAGAATTGTTGAGCTTGACTTTTCCACCATTTTCCATCTAAATATGAATGTTTTTGAGATCAGACCTCAAGAAATAACATTGACCATTTACCAAAATAAATGCAATACTCTCTGCTGGTTCCAGCCAAAGGTCTTTGTAGCCCAATGCGCAGTCTTTGGCAGTTCTTTGCCAAAACGCATGACACAAATGCAATGTTCCTCTTCTGTAAGATGAGAACAGTGATACCTCTGTACTCTACAGGGATTATATGCAATGCACTTTGTTAGGACCAGATTCTGCAAGGACTTCTGTCCTGTGAGTAGCACTGAGAATAACGAAAAAAACGAGAATTTAGAATCTGTGTATGGACCCCAAGATAGGAACAATCATTGTCATCAGGTTAAAAAGCAATGGAAAAAATAAAACTGGGGTTACATAAAAATGTATCAGATATTTTGAACTTGAGATTTCAACATAATTTTCCATCCAAGCTCATTCGCACTGGCACAGGTTGCTAAGGGAGGTTATGGAGTCTCCATCCTTGGAAATATTCAAAAGCCATCTGGACATGGTCCTGGGCCACCAGCTGTAGGTGGCCATGATTGACCAAAGGGGTTGGACCAACCAGATGACCTCCAGAGGCCCCTTCCAGCCTCAGCCATTCTGCGGTTCCATGATAACTGAGCTCCAAAACCAAACAGTCTCAGCCAGAGAACCCTTGCAGGCAGTGAAGTGTGGTGTCAAGCTTCAAGGTTACACATTAGCCAGCTGTGATATTTAACAGCACCATAACTTTTCATGCAGTGATATAAAGACCTAATTCTGCCCTGCACTGAGTATATTTGGTGAGTCCTGAGTATATTCAGTGTTCATTACCAATCACACGTAAAAATGTTCTTGGTATTTTAGAGTCGGATCTTACCCCTCTGAAGTTAGTTTGCCCTTGGCAAAGAGTGGATCAGGCCTTAACAGAATGAACTTGCAATTCTGTAAAGATTAGATATAGATTTTACTTTAATATCGAGCCCTTATGAAGTCTCAGTAGTGGAGTCAAACATCTGAGGAATTTTATGCTGCAGGAGTTGGTCCAGAATCCAAGAAGGACAGATGATGAAGGAGAAGCAAACTCATAAGAATGAGACAGGAAAAAGCAGAAGAGAGAGTATAAGAGAACAGAATCAGGAGGAAAAGATGGGCCACGTAAGAAACCAAGAGATGTGAGCAAATGCTGGTTTTGGTCTCTTTTTTCAAAAAAAGGGAAGAGAAATCTTCATGGGAACTTCCCCCACATCATTAGCAGGCTGTAGAAATTCTGTTCTGTGCAAAGTCTGTAGAATTGGACAACTGCCTAGAGAAAAGGAAATTGTATAGCGTTTATGAGAGGAAGAGAAAAAGGAAAGAGAGAAGGAGAGAGAGAGAAAGAGAAAAAGGAAGGAAGGAAGGAAGGAAGGGGGAGATAGAGGGGGAGAGAGAGAAAGAGAGAATGAGAGAAAGAAAGAAAAGGAAAGAGAGAAAGAAAGAGAGAGAAAGAAAGAAAGAGAGAGAGAGAAAGAAATAGAGAAAGAAAGAAAGAAAGAGAGAGAAAGAAAGAAAGAAAGAAAGAAAAAGAAAGAAAGAAAGAAAAAAAAGAAAGAAAGAAAAAAAAAGAAAGAAAGAGCGAGTGAGCAGGGAGAAAAAATTCAGGCTGACCCCAGCATATGAGAGCATGTTCAGTAACATACAGAAATGTGGATGCCTCAAGCCTGGTTGACAGTGTTTCCTTCAGCCCCATTGCCTTTAAGGCATGAGTGGATTTGCAGGGCTGACAGTCGAAAGGCTGAATGGAAAATGCAAACGCCTGTCTTTGGTGTTTGCAGTAGGAGTCAAGCACAGCACCCCAAGAGAGGCTGAAGCATTTTCCCAAGGCAGTGCCATTATCTGGGGAGAAAAAAAGTGTTTCAGTTTTGGTTTCAGAAGAGCAAAAAGGGGTAACCTTGGTGAGCTGCCTTAAAAATTTGCTTCCTTCAGAAAACAACTCCAACAGCAATATCCTCTCACTTTTATATATAGTCAGCAAGTGATCCTGCTCCCAAAAAACCGATTAAAATGTGCAGCACCTACTCCTACCAGCACTGGGTGCTGAAGCCAGTGAGCTCTTCCATCAGGACAGAGGCCAGCCTTCTCCAAGAGGTTGGCTCATGTAAGGAATGCACAGGGATAGTCAAAACTTGAAATTCAAGACTTTTTTTTCTGCCACACACAACAATAAAATGTGGCAGAACACAGCAAGCCCTCTGATATGTGTCAGGGCAGAAGACAGTGTTTTCCAATCCTTGGAATTCAGATTGAGCCCCCTGAAAAATCATCCAATTGACCAAATGTTTTCAAGATAACAAAATAAATAGAATCAACCCTGCATGGTTTTTTGTTCATTCTTTGCTTTATGATCCATGAGGCTACTCCTAATTTCCCTATTCCAACCATGAGAGCTACAAAAATAGAAAAATAGAAATGAAAACTGAGCTCATCGGACAAGACTACCCCCACCAAAGTCACGTTGGCCCTGTGTGGGTTTTGGAGCCCACCCAGGCAGAGCAGCTGGCAAGACCCATGCCTAAGATCACAACATACTCTGCAATTACAGTACAATGCTGACAATAGAGTTTTGTCAGTAAAATAAGAAGAAATAATTCTGAAGACATGTAGGTGATATGTAGGGGAGGCTAACTAAATAAAAGAAGCAATTTTATTCACTATTTTTATGAGCAGCAGAGCAGGCTGACAGAAAGGTTATAGGATGGCACAGTATTTCCATCCACAGATGTCACAGGGACACTACTGCACGTGATTTAAGATTAATCTCTTGAATCAAAATGCCACCATGTACACTAATGAGCAAAAACTTCTCAGAGTACCCATCCCTGGGGCTCCCATTCCCAGGTAAGAAGCTTGTCTCCGTACTATTGTAGAAACTCTCTCGGTAGAGTGCAATGAGGTTGGTGGTATAATTTGCCCCCAGTTCACAATTTTCCATTTCAGACTCGCTGTCTCTGTCTTGGTTTCGGTCTATTTACTCGGAGCCATTTCTTAACAATGTCTAATTTCCTCAAGGAATCCCTCTGAGTCCCCTCTCTTAGAAATGCTGCCATATCTTTTTTTTTAATCACTGAAAGGCACAAATATCCTTCCTGAGCCCTCTTACCATCTAGCCTGATTATATACATAGATTTCAGTTTCCATACATTTTCTACACAGTAGGAGTTCCCAAAATGCAGCCTCTAGGGATACAAAGTGTGGCTCAATGAGATGAAAACAAAGCCAATCAGGTACTGTTCTTACTGTTAATGAGCCTAACCAGCAGGCCATTATTACTCAGTCTGCAAGACATATGTGGCTGGAATCATAGCACATTCATTTTTTATTTATAGTGATACACATTCAAATTAGAAATAGCCCTCCAGCAGCTGGAATTTTGCCAGGGCCTGACCATCACTGTGATAAAATTTAAATATCTTGAAGATACAGAATGCTTTTGGTCGCCTTTTTTTTTTTAATAGCGTTCTTCTCACCTCCTACTCAGAACTCCTGTGACTATCAAAAGTGGACAATGAGGCTTAAATTAATTTAGGATCCTGGCCCTTACTGAAAATGAAAGAAAAGAGTCCTTTTGCTTTCTTACTTGGTGGTGATGTAAAAATCAAACATGAGCTGATCTTCTTGTAAATAAGCAAAGGCTCAAGCCTTCTGGCAAATAAAAGAGTAGAAATGAACGCTTGGACAAGAACCATAAAGAAATGGGTTCTTGGAGGAAATGAACATTACTAGCCTATTAATCTATTAATGGCAACTGTAAATACCTCACCCAAAATCACAGTGACTCTGAAACATTTAACTGGAGAGCCTCACAGAGCCTGGCCAAGACAATGTGATACAAGGAAACCACAGTAATTAGCCTCACCTTGCCAGTCATCGGTTTCCAATCTAACCCCTCCCCTGAGTTTAAGTTACAAACCTCAATAACTGTGTGGCAGACTTGACAGCAATTAACATTACTCAGCTGCCAGCTGGGTTTTAAAATCTCCCTTCCAAGAGATCTTGTTACGTAGGTTTTAAAAACATCCTGACAGGGTGCTGCTGCACAGCGAGGACCTAGGTTTTGCCTCGCTCAGCTCGGTGAGGGATGAATCAGTGGGAGAGGAAGGATAAATGGCACCAAGCTGTTGTTTGGAGCATGAAGCTTGGCTTTTTTTATGGGTTTGTTTATGGTTTTTTTCTGATCTTCTCATCGAGGGGCTTCACAGAGAGCGCTATTGAGAATTTTTCTTTATTAGTTTATTCTTTAGTCCTGTGTATTGCTACTCATCTTCACGAAGAAGCACGACATGCTGCGAAGGACTCCTCCGTCACACCTCATCATTCAAATTTTACAAGTCAAAGAGAACTTTCTAACTCATCTAAAGCCAAGAAATCAGGGTTTTGTTGGAAGACAACTAGCTGGAGTCATACTCCCATCAGAGTTAAAACTAGCCCAGCATGCGGGTGGCTCAGCCCCTGGTCTGATCCCGGCTCCATGCCTCCGTCCCGCTGAGAGCTGACAGGCACTGATTCCCTCCCCGCTCCCACCTGGATCAGGATGGAGCGGTTTCGCCCCCGCCGCTCGCGCGCGCCGGCGACCCCGCCCCTCCGCGCCCATTGGCTGCGGGGCGGGGGCGGGGCCGCCTTGGAGGGCGGGGCCGCCGTCAGCTGTTCGCGGCGCGCCCGGCGGCGCCGGCCGCACTTTGGCCGTGAGGAGGCGGCGGCCGCGGCTCCCGCGACGCCCCGTCCCCGCGGGACGCCCGTCCCGATTCTCGGTGAGTGCCCAGGAAGCCCGTTCGCCACTGGGGCCGGCCGCTCTGAGCCAGGTCTCCGGTCAGCGCGGCGCCGAGGCCGGGCGCGATCGTGACAGGGAAGGAGGTTCGCCTCGGGGCAATCTCCCGCCCGGCCGGTCCTGCCCGGAGTCCCGCGCCTGCGGGGAAGCGAGGAGAAGGAGGGAGCGGGCGGGCTGGGAATGAGCTCGGCTGGCACCGGGAAGGCAGCGATTTGCTGATGCAGGCGGTGGCTGATTCTGCAGGCAGCGCTGCCCCTCCCGGGCCGTCCCGCAGGGCTCGGGTGTCTCGTCCCGCGGCGCTGCCCGAAGGAGCCGCGTTTAAATCTCTTGGCCGGGGACACATCTGCGAGGCTGGAGCCCGGGCGGGGAGGAGTTGAGGGCGGCCGGCGGTGTCGAAGCGAGGCCGGCCAGCTTTGTTTTGGGACGCTGGCACGCACGTGTGCGCTAAGCCCTCCCTCCGCTCCCGGCCCGCCGCCTGTCAGCGCGCGCGTGCGGCGGCCCCGGCCCGCGGGGTTTGGCCGCTGGCTCGGGCAAGGAAGCGCCGTGGGTCGGACACGGCGCCGGGGACGCGCGAGCTCCCGTGCCCGTGCGCCCGCCGTCGGGCAGAGCCCCGGAACCCGAGCTGTCCAGTGTCCGCGGTTCCCGGCGTGAGCTGCGTTTGGAGGGAGTGGAAGGAGTTTCAGTGAGTTGTAGGATGAGTTATCCTTCACGCTGCCTCGGCATTCTCTCTTCGGCATTTCCGAGGAGCTCTTCAAAAAAGGTCGGACTGTATTGCAGGAGGTTGAGTTAAACTTCTTGCTCTCTAAACCCTCTTTTGTTCAGTGTTTGCTCTGTGCCTTTGCTGCACTTTCTTTGAAGAATTGCCGTATCCCAGCGGGTCTGACAGATGATCATCCATGACTGCCTCTTGGGGCCCGTAACTCCTTTCGGTATGCTTCTTTAAGCCATGGATGAGAATGCTATGAGTGCTGTGCCACTGCTGTCATCCCGCAGAGCTGGACCAACTGTGGGGCTGGTACTTGTTCTGCTCTCAAGACACATTTTTGGGAGTTGTCGCTCAGCTGAGTGAACTGCTGAGATGCAGCAACTTAAATAACCATAGTGCCCCCAAGTTAGAGCCCTACACAAATAGTTCTTGCACTGCTCAGTCCTTTTGTCTCCTCTAGAGTACTGGTGTCCTGAGTGCTGCTCACCTGGGAGGAGATGGGAGCACCAAGGGCAGCGCTGAACACATCCTTATAAAATTATTATTAATGTCTCCTTCAGGCCTGAAATTCCTCTTGCTAGTCTTCCATTCTGTTAAATGCTTCGCAAACCAGAGCAAAGGAAGAGACATGAAGAGTTGAATTTCACTGCCTTGTTTGGAACTGGGTGGAAATCCTGGAGATGGATCTCTTAGGAGTCTGTCTTCCAATTGGGTTAGATGCACAGGTAACAGTAAAGGGACTTGTGGCATTTTTGGTAATTCTGCTTCTAATTGCTTTATGTTTGCAAAGAACTCTTAAATAGTGATTTAGGGCTTATGGGGGTTTTTCCCCTCCACCATATTTGTCCAACTCTGTACTGTAACAGAGCTCAGGAATGTTTACTGTGGCAACTACAGAAGTCCTGCTTTAAACACTGAGACCAGCAATGGTTTTCTTTAGTAGTAGGGTGAACCACTCCAGTGACAGTGCATGTAGGCTTGAGGGTAAGAGGGGTAATGAAGTGACTGCCTTGCCAAGTTTGGGACATGTCTTAAGTGGAGCTAAGGGAAGAAATGAGAAGTTGAAAGGAAAGTTGGCTCTCACTGGGACAAGTAATGGAGAGCTTCACAGAAATGGCTTTGCCAGCTCTCGAGTTTTGCAACCACTGAGTTTTGTTAAAAATCGGGCCTTGCAGCCTTGTGATTACAAGAGTTCTTCTTCAATAACCAATAGGCAGGAAAAAGTGAATGGGGTATATACCATAAAGTTCAAATACAGCAGGCTAAATCAAAGCAGACCCCAAAGAAGCTGACTGGCCACAGGGCTTTTGGAAGGATTGGGGTTGCCTTTTAAAACAATGTCTTTTCAGTTTCCATGTGCTGAGCGGTTGGGGGTTGGCTACCTACCTGTGAGCACTTGTAGAATTAGAGCTGTCAGTGGACTGTTACATGTGTGAACTTTGTCTCTCTCTGGCCCAGCACTTGAGGACTTCTGGCGTTCACCACAAAGTCACTCACCTCTCCTGCTCATGCAGATGGGCAGCACTGGGAGGGAGGTGTGGTAAAAACAGTTGTGTTTTATTGTTGGAGCAGAAGGCATTATCTCCTGGACAGCATTCTTGCTGTGTCTTAGCTGTTTCCTCAAATGTCCCTTTATTGCAGGAGCAATGGATCGCCCCAGCTACCTGGAAGAGGACTATTCTAGCCTGGATGGGCTGGACGATGACGTGTTTCACTCTGATGACTTTGGACTTGCAGGTCAGCCTGGTGAGATGACTGCAACTGGCTTTTTCACACAGAACCAGTCCTACAGCTGCCTTCTGGGGAGGTTTCAACTATTCCCCCTCACACACTGCTGTGGTCCCGGTATCAGGCATCCTGAGCAGCAGGACAAGGCAACTCAAACACTCAGCCCGTCCTCTTCCAGTCAGGATGTTATGTTGCCTTGTGGAGTCACTGAAGAGCCACGGAGACTCTTCTATGGTAAGAGCACTCCAGTGTCACTAGCTTTGCAGCAAGGAAACTGTCCCTTTAGCATTTCCCCAATCAAGCAAGGTTTCTTTCATTAGGGCATGTTATTAAAGGACTGAAATTATTTTGCTTTGGTCCAACTCCCTCAAGAAAGACAACTTATTTTCTTACCTTTGCTTGTCCACTGCAGGAACCAGGCACTTGCTCATTGCTTCTGCTGTCTTTGATATTCCCTCTCTTTCGCTTTTTGACTTTATTTTATCAGATTTGATTTTACTGCTAGATGTTAAAGTGCTCACTGTACCTTATATCCTACAATTTGCCTACATTTTTTAACTACTACTGGTCTCATCTGCACAGGAAGACTCCTAGAAGTTTTCAGTGGAAAGAAGGAAATGCAAAAAGTTAGAGCTTTTAGGCTCTTTACCAGAGTTAAAGTTGGTGAATAAATAGCATGTCCATGCAGTATTTTACTAGCAACTGAGGCAACACCATTCAGTTTTGTGTATCCAATTCAGCTTTAATTCAAATCAGTACCACTAAATGCCAGAAAACTGAGAAAAGTATGAGAGAAAAGATATTGCAACCTCTAAGAGGAGACAGCTTGAGGCAGAGATCATCTAAACCTGCAAAACTGTCATCAAAAAAACCCAAGGACTTGACTGAACTATAAACAAGGAAAAAGAACCAATTGTAAGATCCTGCCACCCATTTCACTATGGGAAGCAACACAATGCTCTGCTTAATCTATATAAGTCTATTTAAAAGCTGAGCAAATGTTTTACTGCATGATTACGGCACACAGTCATTGTTTGGGTTTCAGGAACTGGACTTTAACATGAGTCAAAAATTTAGGATTATGTGCAGCTCTTTCCTACATGAAGCGTACTGAGTAGAAAAGGTAATCTTCGCACTGGACGAATTACTCTTCTGATCTCTGCTTTGTAGGGAATGCTGGTTACCGTTTACATGTCCCTCCAGCTGGCTTTGGGTTGGATCCACACCTCCAAGAGGAACCTCAGGAAGGTCAGCAGGAAGCACGTGCTGAGGTGCAGATTGCACGGAAGTTGCAGTGCATTGCCGACCAGTTCCACCGGCTCCACATACAGAGGGTAGGGTGTCTCTGGAGGGGAAGATGGGAATTTACCTATCCAAGAGTGGTACTCTAGAAGACTGGCTCCAGGTATCAGCTAAGTGGGCTGTACTTCCAGGTAGCAGACTGCCATCAGCAATAAAATGGCAGGAGTATCCTGATAGATTTTTGCTTATGCTAGGTTGCTGGCTCTTCCTAAAGATTGGCAAGGTGGAGGGAAGAGAATGTGTGGGATTCCATTTTCTGCCTGGGAAGGTAGCTATTTTGTGTTAGCTGCTGCTATTCCAGCTCTTCCAGTTCATCAGCAGTGGGGTTTATGAGGCTTTTCCCAGGGATCTCCTCCTTTCTTTCTATTACAGCTTTTACTCTTCTTCTCCACTTTCGTCACCACCATCTTCTCTTCTGTGGAGTAAGTGGTCATCTGTGGCTTATGTCAGCTCCTCATCTTGGAGATAACAAGAAACCTGGAGTCTGTTCTGACACTCCTTGATGTCTAAGGGTAGTTCTATGTAATGTTATAAAGTATATTCAGATTGTGCTAGACTTGCTAGCAGGTCCTCTGTCAGCCAGTCCTAGCTAGCATCTCAGACTTGTGAGTAACTTCCTCACAACAAAAGACAGCTGTAAGGTGCCATCAGGTCTGAAAATCACACTCCAGATTCTTGATTTTGTTTCTTAAAGAAAAAAAAGAAAAGAAAAAAAGAAAAACCCTGTTATTCAAAGAAACAAAATAACCATCACCCCCAAAATCCCTGATTCTTTCTTCCTTGCCCTCCTTCCCCTGTTGAGTAAATGGAAATCTCAGCCCATGCAGAGCTGGTCAGAGGTTGCAGAAGTTTGGCAGTAGGCAATAGTTTGCCACTTCTATGCAAGCCCAACAAGGAGAGTGTGTATCTGCTTATATATGAAGAAATTTTGCTGACTTCAGAGTGGGACAGAAAGTTTATCTCACTCCAAGTGAGCTGCTGCTCTGTTAACTGTGGAATCTGTTGCAGCCCTTCTCAAAGGTAAGTGAGGATCTCTGTCCTGGCCAGAGAATTTGGCTTGTGGCTGGGCAAAGGTTTGATCCTCTCTGTGTCATCTGAGACATAAGGGAATTCTGCGACTCATCTCCTAATAACAGGAGGATTAAACAAACTGTAAAAGGAATATTACTCTGTAGAAATGTAGATGGGGCTATGAATGTCATTTAGCAAACTGCAGGACTAACGAGTTACCACGAGATTTTTAACACGTGTTGTTTGTGGTTGAATGGGGTTTTCCGCGGTGGCGCCTTTTCGCCAGCGATAGCTGCAGACCCCACTCCCTCGCCAGGCTCTCACAGGAAAGGGAAGGTTTAACCATCTCGCCGGAGGAGCCCTGCACTGAACTGGTGGAACTGGTTGTAACTTGACCCCTTTCATCTCGGGGGAGTGTCCATATCTGATGTCTGTGCCTTGGAAACGCGTCCAGGAGCGCCCACCCGAGCCGGCCCCACTAAGGCTGCCCGGGGTCGGGCTCTTTGCTGGCCCGGAACTCCCGGTGCCCGCCCGGCCCCGCTGCCACGGCCGGCGGCCAGCCCGGCGTGTGGGAGCCGTAGTAAACAAAGGCGTCCGGCTGCGCTGGGCGGCCCGGCCCGGCCCGGCCCCTGGGGCCCGGCAGAGGAGGGGCTTCGCTCTTTGTTTGAACTGGAAGAGCAACAAGTTGTAAAGGGGACGGGAGCGAGGGCCTTCGGCCATTTGAATTTGAAAACAAAGCATAAGGGAAAAAAACCCAAAACAACCTGAAAACTTAACTTGAGGACAGAGTAGTTCAGCCAGTGGTTATCCACAGTCTGACCCTGGGATAGGCCTTGGTATTTGGATCTGTTAAGGGATTCTTTCTTGTTTGTCAGGAAAACTGAGTGCTGAGCCACATATTGGTGTCCAAGGCACTGTTCCCCATGGAGTGTTTTGTTGTCATGCCCAATCCCTTCCCTCCCAGCCCTGCATGGAGGATTTCCTTTGGCTTTTGGCAGAGATCCCGTGCAGAAGCCCCTCTATCCTGTGGGCAATGACTTTTCCTAGCCCGTTGCTGAAGAAGCAAGCGGTCTGCCCCTGGAGACACGTGACTGGTTCACAATGTGCTGTGGTTTGGAAGGGGAAGCCTCTGAGACATGAAAAACTGGGCTGTCGTTTATCTTGCTGTGAAACTAATCTCTGATTTAGATGCCCTGTTCCAGCTTGTCTCAAACATTTGGTCAAAACCAACTTTCCAGAGTGGTGTCTTGAATCAGATTTAAATACCACAAAGTTAGTCACACCAGTGTGGTCTTGTGAAGTTCTGAGAGAAAGCAAGCTGGTTTTCAACAAGCTGTGCCTCTTTTTGGAGCCTACAAAACATCTTATCTGTGAACCTGGGAAAAGAAAACATGTGTGCCCTTTCAGTGGGAGTTAGGAAAGACTTTTAGTATTGGAATAGTGCATCCAGTTAGCTCAAGAGTTGCACTCTCATGGCTCTTGAGTTCTGTGAGATTCTCCAGCAGTTCAGGTATGGCCCCCATTCTCCTGCTGCAGCAGCAAGTCTGTGTTGACACAAAACTTGCTGGTTAATGTACATCCCTGGCTGAGAGAGAAACTGAGCAGGCAATAGCTGCTGAGGTTGACGTCACTGAGTTGTCATTGGACTCAGCTGCATGCATGGTCTAACCCCATCCCACCCTGGGAACCCTGGAGAGTCACTGTTATCTCTTCCCTGGGCTTCTGGAGCTAAATGGTATTTATTCTGTGGTTCTTGGCTATACAAAAGATTCTTGGGTATGCATTTCGTAAGAATAAGAAAGTTGGCTGCACCTATGCTTGCTTTTGGCATGTACACCATTTTCAGGGTTTCATTTCCTATTAATATGTTAAACAGAAAAAAGTAGTTTAAAACCTGGCTTTTTCATCTTTAGAACAGTCTAGAGCAATAACACAACATTCCCTAGAACTCTGTGGCTTTTATCTCCTTAAGATGCTGAATTTATTGTAAGAGGGGCTTGAGCAACCCTCTGTGTTCCTAAGTAGCAGAGCCTGTTACAGGTTGATCCAGTTTGCAAAAGTTCTGCAGAATGACATGCGAGAGTCATCTGTGTTTTCTTGAGTTCTTTACTACCTCTTACCTGATTGAAGCTGTGTTGCTTCTGGCAAAGTTCCCCTGTTGTACTTTTTTCACCCTGCCCCTGGAAAACTAAGCTAGAGCCAAGCCGTGTTTTCTTCAGGAGAACCCAGGACCTCCCACCTCCTTCTTGGTTTGAAGCAAGTGTGCCTTTGCCTGTGAACTGCTTGCTGTAGCCCAGTCTGTGGCTGAGCTTAAAGACTGTACTCTGAGATTATGGAGAACAGAGCTGAGTTTAGGGGATCTGCTGGTTGGTTGGCTGAGATGTGCTGCCCACGCCCCATATGCCCAGGCTGTGGCAACAAGTGCTTGGGCTCTGCTTCAGGTCCTGAGCAGGTCCTGAGTGAACTTCAGTTTCCTTGCCTTGAGGAGGGGCTTCAATCTGTGCTGAACCAACAGTGTATTTCACGAAATTATGCGCTGCTAGCTGGGATGTGAGTAGACAATCAGGGACAGCGACAGCGGCAGCGTAAAGCCACCCCAGAGTAGCACAGGGCTATACAGGGGTGGGGTGGATGACACTGTATATCAGTATCACACCCCTTCAGTTTGACTTGCTCCATTGAGACACTGGAATGCTACAGCTTTTTTCCAAATAAAATAACTCTTTTTAAGCAGGCTGCAGCTTTGAGGGGACTGCTTTTATTGCATCTCTTCTTCATGGAGATAAGATCACTTCACAGGGGATAAAATTGTCTCTTTAAGAGCCAAGGAGTGGTAGCCTTGAACAGTTCTGGGCTCAGATCCAAGCAGAGCCACTGACTTGCTGTATGACCTCAGACAAGTCTCTTGACCTCCTTGTGCTTCAGTCAACCCATCTGGAAAGCTCGGTTTAAAAAAAGCTGAGCCTCAATGAGAACCAGATGCTGAATCAGAGCTGAGCTTTCTTGAGTAAATAAGTGCATTACAAACAACAACAAAGCCCCTTTCCAACACATCAGGAATCCTGCAGTTGATTTGGATATGCTGACCATGCTCAAAAAGCCTCTGTGGATCTAGCTATAGAAAAGTTTGTTTCTCTGAATTCCCCAGTTGGTTCAGCAAATAATTCTCACCATTGCTGCAACAGGCTTGAGCAGCCTGTGGAACACAAATGCCTGCATCCATACTGGCTGTGGGCAGACAACTAGGCATGTACCTGTTTGCCTCAAGCTAATGACAATGAAAATGTCCAGGAGGAAATGTTATTTTCCTTTGAAAGTGAAACCTGTTACAATTTGCATATTTTTTCTCCTCTGTCTCTCATGAGAGTTATCAAAGTCCCCTCTGAGATACTTCTGCTTATGCAACAGGAGTCTGTGTCTCTTTTCAGAAAGTCATTGGCATGAGAGAGTGGGCGCACAGTGCTACATGTGCATCATTTATCGCAAACTTCATCAGGCTTTTCTTCATTGTTTATTAAGGGACAACCATGGAATTTTTAACAGTTGCTTTTTTTACACTGGTATTGTTTGCAGGAGACCATTCTTTATGATGACTTTATGTTTTAGGAAGAATCTTCAGAAAAGTTTCCTAATACTGTAGTACAGAGACTCAGACTGTCCTGCAGCTGAGCCTGTAGCACCGGAAGCTCCATACTTTACTTGTACCTGCAGTCTCTTTGAGACTTGGGTAAGTGTTTTCAGTCTTTTGTTTCCCTAGCAGGTCAGTATGTTTCAGGATCTTCCCAGCTGGCTGGTGCTTGCTGGTCCCTGCTGCTGCTGTGCACAGCAGTGAGTCACCTCTTCAGCTCTGCTTTCTGCGCATTGCCTATCAGTGCAGGACTTGAATCTCCAGCTGAGGATGCAGGAGCATGGTGAGGGAGTGAACTCCTGAAGGGAGTGAGCCTGGTTTAGAGGGCAGGGGGTAGAGTGAGTGTGAGGTTGGGAAGACTGAGATGTAAAACAAAGTTCTCGCGGGCTATAGAACTGGAATCCTAGGCTTGAGGAAAGGAGGTTGCCATAGGGGGAAGAAGAATTCTTATGGTCAGTGGTGTCAGAAACTTGAGATGAGGAAGTGGAGACATTTTTTTTGCCTAATGTTGTTAAATTTTCATTCTTTTTTCTTTTTTTCTTTTTTTCATTTTGACCAATAACAATGAAGGAAGAGGTGGGCTTGGAAGTGCACCTTCCCCTATGGATACAAATGATACAACAACCTATTGCCCCTTGCCTAGCACCCGTTCAGAAATCCTGCTGCCTGTGGAGCTGATTACTTGACATTTAGGTTAACAGAAACTTGCTGAACCCTTTCACATCTGATCTGAAATGGTATTCTTTGCTATGTTAAGAAACTGAGAAAAGTACATAGTTATGCCACTGTATAAATCCATGTTTCTCCCATATCTCAAATGTTACATGCAATTCTGCTTTTCTTCTTCCAAAAATGATGCAGCAGAACTGCATCTCTGAAAAGGTTCAGAGAAAGCCAAGAAGGATGATGGAACTTCCACATGAAAAATGAAAAAATGGGCTAGGACTGCTAAGCCCAAAAAAAGACACAAGAGGGAAGCAATATTAAACAGAAATCAAAAGTGACATGAAGGAGATGGATAGACCAACTTCTCCCAGTACAAGAACTAGGAAAAATCAAGTCAAGCTAGTAGGAGCCAGTTCAAAGTAAATGAAATATTTTTTTTCATGCAACAGGTAGCTCTGTGGAGTTCCTTGTCAAGGCATATTGTGCATCCCAGTGCTTTATCTGGGTTCAAGGGGAATCGAGACAAGTTTATGGCCACTGAAGCAGACATTAAATAAACAGAAACCAGATCTGACTCGGGAAGTCCTAAGCTCAAACTAGTTAGATGCTGAAAGAGTATTAGGGGGACCTATTGCATGTACTTGCCCTCAGCTTTTCCTCAGGCAGCCATGTAATGCTGCTGTTGGAGGCTGGGCTATGCAAACTCTTGATGCAAGTCACATACAACCACTGTGTATCAGTTAAATAAAAACCACAAAACTTTTGCATCAGCCTAATCTAGCTTTCTTCTCTATGCTTTCAGCTGACAAGAGATTTAAATATATTATGGGTTTGTTCCTGCTTAAAATAGGGGATAATGTTAAAAAGCAAAACTTCCTGCCTAGCTCTGGTAGAGGAAGTGGGCAGAGCATAAGGGAGCTGGGTGGCAGGAGAGCCCTGCAAGCTCTATGCAGTGGTGCACCGTGAATCCTTCACCCTGCCAGACACAAAACTGCGCTGTCTTCAGGCAGTGGGGCCACAACCTCAAAAGACCAGGACTGCCCACAATAAAGAGCACAAAACAGTTCTCCAGGACAGCACAGGTGAATGGTTTTGCAGTATTTCTAACATCAGTGCAGTGACATTAGTGTTCAGTGCTGATGTTTCTCCAGTACAACCCCTGTAGTCTCCACAGGCTCTTTTGCCTTTCCTCAGCTCTCAGAGCACTTTGCCGGCTGTGACAGTGGTAACATGCTTTGCCCTTGTAGCAGTGTGACAGCTGAGAAATTATTTTTCAATTAAGAAGGAATTGCAGTAATACCCCACTTCTTTTTTAGTGTGGGACACTAGAAAATGCAGGTTATAACTTGATTGAGATCGTGTAAAGATTGCTCATTGGAACCCAGTTGTTCTGCCTCCAGTCCTCGGCTTAGGTTGGTTGATCTTATTAAGATAGTGCCAACTCCGAGGGGGATGATGAGATGTTTGGACTGATTATTTATGGTGAGGAGTGTGTGTTTGTATTTTACTCAATTAAATTTTACGGTGGAAAAGCAGGAAAGCAAGTGCCCAAGTGCAGAGTCCTCCTTTGTTTCAAGCCATTGAGGAGGAATGTCCCGCCAGCCTTTTATAGTCTCCATTTGGTTTTTTTTTTTGTTTCTCCTCGATAGCTACCCTTGCTAATTTCAAAGGACCGGACCACAGCAGAACAAATAGTGATCCAAAAAGAAAAGTAGTGAGGCAACTCCTGTTAACCTAAGTTAGGTTTTCCCTGGTACATGGCTGACCTGAGGAGGTGCTGACCCTGGGCTGGAGCCCCCCGAGGGCCAGCGGGCCCCGGAGGCCGGCGCGAGGAGGAGCGGGCGGTGCGTGCGAGGGCCCGGCCGGGCCGTGTTTGCGCTCGGCGGCTGTGTTTATATCGCTCGCTAAATTTAGCCTCTGAGTCATCGCCACTGCTGACGAGAGGCTGCGCTGCCCGCAGGCGCCAGCCCTGCACCTGCCCTCCCGTCGCCTCCCCGCGCAGCCGGGCGGCCCCGCGCCCCCTTCCTTCCCCCCCGCGCCAGGATATTTTTCCTGTAAAAACTTTTAAAGTGTTATTTTAACCAAACCCCGAGGCAGACTTTAATCACTAGGGGGGGTCTCCGCAGCAGTGAACAGTTTTGGGAGCACCTCCCTTCTGCTGGCGAGGAAACGGATGCCAAACACAGGTCAGTGGGTCCCGCGGCCCGTGCAGGGCAGGGGATGGATGCGGTGGGCTGTGGAACAGCTCTGCCCCATCATATGCAGGCTGAGTCAACAAACCCGCCCGCTCTTGCTGCTGCCGGCCGTCGCTGGGGGGTGTGAGGTGTCCTCTCCTTGGCATCTCTTCCAGCACCCTCACACACACCCCCAGAACATAGGGGCGAATCCCCCCGGACCTCATACCACAGGTAGAAAGTGGTATCAGGTACGGCTCTGTGGAAATGCAGGTCCCTTATTTACGGTATTTGTGGAAAATAAGCCAGCGCTCCCCCCCCCGGGGGAGGGGCAGGAGGGGAAGGCCCGGGGGCCTGGGAACGCGGTGGCCGATGGTTGCCCTTCCCAGGTTGCCGTCAGCTGGCTGTTACCATGGCGGCTGTCTGCTTCCCCTTCCTGCCCGCTCCGGAGAGGAAAGCGCGAGTGGCTGCATGTTTGTTTTTGAACTACAAGAAAGTTGAGAAAGGGCTCACCTGCGCAGCTGTGCCGGCAGCAGGTTTGGGGCAACAGCCGTCGCCGTTTGCTGCTCAGACCCAGCGCCTCAGCAGGAATTCGTGCTGCCCCTTGTGCTTGGGCTGGGCAGCCCATAAATGGGTTTTGGGGGTCTCCTGTGCCCCATATCCCTTCTGCAGCACCCGGTCCTCTATATCCTCTCTCCATAAACACATGTGTTGCTTATCTTGATGCAAAGTCTGATGGAGGCTCATGAGAAAGGAAGCAGTACTTGAGATGACACCTCCTTCTACCACAAATTTAGTCCCATGTAAGAGCTATTGCAAGCCAGAAAGGTGCAGATCCCCAAGGAAGATCTCTCATCCTCCTCTCTGTGTCACCACAAGAAATCATGCCCCTAAGCTCCTCTTTCATTTTTTTTCCTCTGTTACTGTCTCATTTTTTTTCCTTGTAGTTTTTACACATGCATTATTTTTTGGTCATTAGGAATCACAGCTGGAAAGATTTGTATTTGACTTTCACTGGCCTGCATTTCTCGCTCCAGTGGGGGACACCTTCTGTAACCTCTGTTGCTTTGGGGACTGTGACTTTTTAGTCTTTCTAAGCTAAAGCATATATTTTGGTAGCACAATATGCCTCCAGCCACCTGGCAGCCAAAACAGCCTTTGGAGATTAGTCAGCAACTGCTCCCAGTGTGCAAGTATTTTTTTATTCAGTGAATAAATAAAATCCCAGCAACTTGTTGCTAATACTTGTATTAGTCATTAAAGGAAGAATGGTGTTTTTATGTACACACATGCTATTATTCTTCTTTTGCTCTAATAGTGCCATTATGACCGTATTAATTCTTCTAGTTAAGATGGGATCAGAATATGACCCTTAACCATCTGGAAGCTATGAAGCAAAGTCAGAAGCTTCCCGTGACATCAAGAGGGTAGACAGGTACCCTGCTGTTTATGTGATAAAAATCTACCAGACCCACATACAACGTGTATATGATGAACATATTCTTTACGTTTTTAAGTAGGGATATTAATGGCATATATGTATCAGGTGGAAAAGTAAATCTTACTCATCTTTAAACATTTATGCTCAAGGATGCACAGAGCTGTGTCAGAGGAACAGTATTTTCTTTGGGGTGCATAACCTGTCCTGATCTTCCCTTGATCACCACGTGCAAGGGCGCAGCAGGAGTAAAAAGGTTTTGATGTCTGGGTGCCATTTGGGAGATATATATCTGTATGCTTACAGTGTGGAACCTGTATTAGGAATTAATTAGGGGAGGGAATAAATGTCAGGTCACTCATGTCCCTCTTTCATTTGCTTCCAGTAAAAGTCTTGCATGTTTTTTTGTGCTTGTTTGCCAGTATTCTGGCTTTTGGTTCAACACAGTTCATGGAATAGGCTTCACTAATGTGTACTGTTGCTGCAGAGGACATTTTTCCTGTAAAATGGCCTTTCCTTGTGACTCATTGAAGCATTCATGTTAATGCTTCAGACAGACAGTCTCTTAAGGATATCCCCTTTAAAAAGCAGCAGCTGCAATAGGAAATGGTTTTATGTGTTTCCAGCTTTGTGTTGACTTACTGTATTCACAAGTCTAGTCTTCTTTAGTTACAGTTAGTAAAGAGGGCAAAAGGGGCTTCTTTCCTTCTTGGGAAGGGAGCCACAAAAGGGTCATTTTGTCACGACTGCATGGAGGTGACAAACTGTTCATCCCTGATACTTTTGTGCAATAGTGACTCTGAGGACTGAATTATTTTGATAAAGGACAAGTTGGCATAGTGAAGCTTAGGGAAATTATACACCAGTGTTGCAATAGTTATGAGTCTTTAAAAAATGTCTTGAAACATATCACCTATAAAAAAAAATAGTTACTAAATTAATGGAATCAGTCTTCTTGGTTTTCTGTCCTTCCTGGTAACACCAAAAAACCCTCAGTCTTGAAATATTTGAGAATTTTGATCTTGGCAGAGGCGTGTCTGGGGAAAAGATGCAGAAACTTGTGAAATGGACATTTTTTATTTCTTTCCATAAATTGTTTACTGCAAAAAACATCTGCCATTTCCATTTTGTGGTTCTTGTCCCATATTGAATTAGTACCACCGAAAGCAGATCACCCCAGAAGTGAAGCCATAACTCTAAACCCCATTGGCTAGGCTTGCTGCTGAGGCAAGTAGTCCCATCTTGCTCCTCTTCACAAGCCACCTTTCTGTTGTCCTGGCACA